TCATCATCATCATCATCCGAATCATCATCATCAACATCATCATCATCATCACCATAATCATCATCAACATCATCCGAATCATCATCACCATCACTAGCATCAACATCACTATCATCATCATCATCACCATCATCATCATCATCATCATCATCATCATCATCATCATCCGAATCATCATCATCAACATCATCATCCTCAGCATCGCCATCATCGTCATTATCATCATCATCGTACTCAACGTACCGTGGTTATAGCTGCCGCAGTTTCGTTCACTGATGATTTGGGAGGGGAAGGTAGGTAGCTACGCGTTGCAGGCGGGAGATGATAAATTGGTGCATAAATCCAGCACTGTCAGTGGGCTGTCAAGTGGAGGGGGGTTGGGAAGGGAGCTATGCATTGAAGGCAATAGCTTTGATACGCGAGCGCCATTGAGGGCGCGACTGGGCCATGTCTGATAATGTCTCGAGCCATTTATGTGGCCCGTCTCGGGGTCCCCATCTAGGAAGACGGCAGTGACTAGCGCAGCTGAGCTTGCTGGTAATGGCTTCCATACTTCGCTGCCAAGTTTTTGCTTGACCGCCTATGGCTGTCTTCCACCCTTCGCGTTGTTGTGCGAAAAGAGCCCTTCGAAAAACTCGGTCGACTGGCATACGCAATATAAACCTGTAAGATATGGCGATTGCTACGCATACATGTCATAGTTCTCCTCTTTGTCGCCTAGGAAAACAGTCAATTCCGACGGCCCTGCGTGACCCGTTCGACAACCTTGCATTATCGATGCGTTATAAACGTTTCTGCTATTCACCAGAGTTATTTTCGCCTTTGGATCACCAACCGTTCTCGCTGAACGAGCCAATGCAATTTTTTTTGCTTCCAGGAACTATTCACTACCGTGTACATTGGATTCCTGTGCCTCATTTTTACATCCTTTCTTATCTACTTGGTGGAAAAGAACAAAAACGAAAAGATTCAAAGTTACGCTGATGCGCTGTGGTGGGGTGTGGTAAGTTGCGAGCGTATATGATCCTTTGTTGTGGGCGTCATGAACTGAAATGACATCTTTCGCAATCCTTCAAAAGTTTTGTTTTGACAAAAGTTGCTAGTCGATGATATTCGGCGGTGGAATGCCATCAAGTTTCCACCGGGTTCCATCTGGTTTTTGTGATATCAATGACTTTCTACTTTCAATTCTCGACATTCATGCCTAATTACTTGCTTTGGTACTCACTCAAACATTCCGTTCCTTTTAACCGACACATTTGGCGCTCTAGACCTAAAAGTACTCTTCTCGTGTCCTTCAGTGAAGGTCACTTTATCGCCAAGACTACGACGGGCACTCTTATGTTCCATGAATGTCAAAATACCTGCCGTGAAGTAGTACTTTGTTGCATGCCTGAAATTGCGCGCCACCGAACAGTGCCGAATGACTGCGAGTTCATCGAACACGTGACTCTGATGATGATGACGAGTTTAGTAGACCCTTGTGTCTTCAACGGGAGGTTTCGTCCTGTTGGTGAAGCCAAACTTTGTTGAATATCGGCGAAGTACGAAACCACCGAGGGTCCGGAACTCTCAGTTTCCGTGTTCCGCCACGAGTGAGGTCATTCTTATCCCGGGTGCCTCTCTGGTTCATGTGCATTTTTTCGGTTTCTAAAGCATGCAACAATCCTTTTATCCATTCTGTTTTTTTCAAAAATTTAACTCATCCTTTCACCATTCACCTATTTAGCGAATTCCCCAGAGAAAGCCCAACTATTTTTTTACTTTAAATACTCACACATGCAAAAATGTTTGAATTTTGAAAACAACTTCAAGTGTTAGCACTTAAACAAATGTGAACCCACTTGGTTAACGCTCTACTGGTTAAAAGAACACATTATGTTCCGCGGTTTTTCACCGTGAAAACTCTACCTATGTGTGAGAGAGACAGAGAGGAACAAGAGTCGATCGAACTGAGCATTGCTTTCTTCCGTACATGCAGATCACTTTGTGCACCGTTGGTTACGGAGACAGTGTGCCCGAGTCTGGATTAGGCAAAATCATCACAGGATGCTCGTGTTTCGTGGTGATCTCGTTTTTCGCCCTACCACCGGTGAGCAACGTAGCGTAATAATAAGTATGCCGCTAACTGGTTCACAAAGTGTCCCGCGATTCCGCAAAAAAAAACGCGTAAAACTGTTCGCCCGTCAACTCTGACTGGATAGAATTTGAAACGTTTACACAAGGCGTTTTAAGCTCAACCGAGTAAAATGAGCAGTCTTTAAACAATGAAATTACGGTAGTTGATTTCAAATTTATCAGAAGCTATAGGTGATCGAACTTTAAAATATCACTGCATAAATTTATCGTTGTTCCGAAATTTAGTCACTTGGGTGTGGTTATTTGATACAGTACCGCAAACATGGGTAAAACAGTTGCCGATGATCAATACGCCTGGCAAATTGAAGCCTTCCTCTTTGTTAGTAGTATAATACGATTTGGTCATTTGGGACTGAGATTTGATTCTGTTAGTGAAGCTGGGCTTTGTTTGGAAATCCAACATCCTGTTCCGCAACTTTTACTCCCGGAATTCGGATCACGTGGACACACGTCCTGACTGGCTTCTCGAGCAACGCCTTCTCAGATGGGAGGTTGACTCATCGCGTGAAATTTATTTTTCTCCTTAACTACTTATAATATGTTGGTAGTATGATGAGATTTGGGAATTTTGGAGGGGAAAGTCAATTGGGAAGGCCCAACACAGCTTTCATCCTTGGTGGGAATCCACACCAGTGTGTATCGCACGAAAATCCATCCGGGAGGGTGATTAGCGCTCACCTAAGCAGGACATAACGCCACTCATCTGTCAATATCGGAAGCTGCATCCAATATGCACTCATTGACTGGCTGTTCGAGTGACAACTCCTCAGATCAGGTGACTCTCTCGTTTCCAAGTTTTCTCAGGCAACTATCCCGGGATAAATGCTACCTCTTGTTCCAGTACTGAAGTATTCTCCACAGCATAACTTGATTTACAAATTCACTAAGAACTCTGCTACAGCACCTCGCATTTACCTAGGTGTCCGTGATCCAAAATGTGTTCACCTTGACGTCCAGCTGAACGAAACTCAGATGCAATGCCACAAAAGACAATCAATCAATGTTAACGGTCGAACTCGGCTGAGCGGATACGCGGCTGTCCGAAGCTCACTCAATCCAAGCTTTTAACACGACCTAAGGGTACTTAGCGTATGCCACCTACAGTGGTTCACTGACCCAAAACGGGCGATTAAAATGTCTTTAGGCATGAACTTGTTGAGTAGTCTAGTGTGATAGGCTCCACATAGGCAAGCAGACCTCGGGTTAGCCTACAACAAGCACCCGAGATGCATACAGGTTCGGCAGTCAGTCAGACAACCTGAATAGAAACTGTCCGCAAGAACACCACTGATATCGTTCACTGTCACCAGCCAAGCACAAATAGTGTCGCGTGGATCGCATCATAGAACTCTGTGTCTTGCGAAATTCAAGAGTAAGGTAGATTCAACACGAAAGTTGAGCACCGTTAGTCTTTATCAAGACGTAACAAAACCGGGGAAACGGCATGAGCTGTGGGGATGATCTCGCAAAAATCTGCATTCGATTCAAAACCAGGAATCTGAAAAACCTGCGTACAGGATTGCACACATCCCGAGCTCCAAGAAGCTGTGCTGAGCAACAGTATGTGGAACAGTATACTACCGTGATTTTGGTGTAACGGTGGATACTACTGATGAGGCATGCGGGTAGTATGTTTTCTCGTAAATCTGCTTCCCGTCTCTTGAAAAGTGAGATTTGTTAGGGAATTTGTGGAGTCGCAGTTGCTTTCATTTCAGCAGCAGTCAATTAATATCCAGTAAAGTTCAGGAAGACTCGTTCATAGAGAAGATGGACATCTAGTTTTTGTAGACAAGATGCATATGAGAGTATTGCTCGCCTGTCCAATAGTCTGTAACTGTTCAGTCGGTGTGTTCTAATGAACAACCCCGCGACGAAGACCTCCTTTCTTCCACCTAAGCAGTTGGGGTGATTAGATGCGAACCATTTGCTAGAAGGTCACGAGATCAAAACTCCGAGTTCCTTGAGGTGCGCACTGATGATGATTTCCAATAGGGATGGAACACCTGCGCAGCTGTGTGGCACTTCTTGGATCTTAGCATGGGCTGACTCCACGGACAGGATGAAATCTCTTAAAATTTGCTTCAATTTGACGGTCTGTAACTTCCAGGTTCAACTTCGAGCACTAACTCAAATTGTATAGAATGTTCAGGAAGCTGTCTACCCATAACAGCCCATCCTTGTTCACTTGAAGTTGTTTTTTTACACTGTCCTGTTTTCCTTTCTAATAGCCAATTAGTGATAATCTTTTCGAATTGTCTACCAGGCGAACAAAACGTTTCGAAAGGTTCTTCATCCTTGACTCGACATGGGCACTCATCATCTAAATGTCAGACTTCTTCCATGCCCTCGGGTCGACCAAAAAAATGTAATCTAATGAGTTACCTAGGCTACCAGAAATGAAAAGTGCAATATCTCATCGTCCATCGGCTCTTTTCGGTTTTTTTTCGCTTCGTTCAACTGAACATCAGATCCGATAAAAATGACTTTAGCGCGACAGGACGGTGTCCAGTCCACGTCGACTGGTACGAGTGGTCACGTGACTGGCATATTTCCATACGATTATGCATTGCACAAAACCGACCAAGTTTATTGCAAATAAAAAGTACGGATGACTGAATTCAGGCAAGGGTTTTATGCGACAGTGCGCCGCACGTTGATGCCGGATAATCTACTCATTGCAGCCAGTAGTTCATCGCCATCGCGTATTCACTCCTCGAATTTAACTTGAGTTTGTGTCAGCCGGCGAGCGTTCTTATCACGATAACTACTCACCGTAATCAACTGTATCCTTATTTACAGTGTTTTCAATAAGTTTTTAGAAAATAAGAAGATACTGAACACCGGTATAAGTAGTATGCGTCCCATCGAATAAATCTAGTCCGATATTTTGGACAACTGAAGAGGCAGTGCTTCATAAACGATGGCGGCAACAGAACCGAAGCACTGTTGAAGTGAGTATATTGCGCGCTTACTTTCAAATTGCGCTTACTGTTCCCGGAGCACAGACGAGCTGAATCTAATCGTTCAGCTGTCGCACCCTTTTAGTGCCTAAGTGCTATGCCACCCGAAGGAAGCACGAAGGCTGGGATGCTGCCAGGTTCCCCAGGGGAAGTCAAGAGGCGGAGGTCGGGTTCGAAACACGGACCCTGTGGCCAATAGATTCGTGCTCTAACCACTTGAGCCATTTCGCCCTATCTTGTGACGCATGCTGTTCCAACCATCAGTCTCCCAGCGCGAGTTATGAACGTGGTTCAACATCAGCTTGGATTGTGTTCGACGATGTTCTGAGATCTTCACAAGCTAGTTAGGATACAAAGCATGATGAGTCTCGCGTATGGTATCACTTCTATAAGTCTGCCAATGAACCCGGCGCTGTCAACTTACTGTGGACTTGTTTTCGTATCGCTTCAATACGGGATCAACCTAGCTATGCAACTGCGAGTTTCTTCAGCGGGTACCGATGATCGAAAGTCTTTAATCCTCATTAGCTATTGAGCTGTAGCAATCACTGATGCGAATCAGCCAAGTATAAATTTGGTATACGCTTCCCTGAGCCTCCAGAATGAATCCTGGCGTGAGAACGCACCTCTTTCACAGACTTCGAGGAGGTCAACTTCGACGGTCCGGTTTCCAAAAGCGGAAAGACCACCTTACTTGTGGTCAGAACAGCAGCTTTCGGCGCGACGTTCTGTGAATATCAAATAATAATGACCATACATTGCATACGTACAAACCTTCATTTTTCATCGAATGCGGGGATGGCCATTTGACACCTGACAACACACTACTCGCACGTTCTATCAGTAGTATACTGCGTTACACCTGTAGAAGAGACAATGGTTAAAAGTTGCACCTCATCAGAAAACTGCTCTTGCTACGGGGTTGATTTATCATCCACTTCGATGGCTGTCAGCTACTCCAGCGATCTCCAAGACTAACCTTCATCAGCGTGCTCGGTAATTTGAATATTCGTACTATGCTGGACTACAGCGCGGTTCCTGTGGCATTGTTCATTCTCACCACCTTTCCTACAAACAGTTTGCAGTCTGATTTTACATCAAAGTAGAAACCTGTCATCCAAGTTTTACGGTATTTTTCATTAAATCAAACAAGAAAATGATGCAATTACTGAGGTTTGAATCTTCACTAAGCAATCAGTTAAAGCTCTAGTGATGTGTGGGCTGCACAAGTGACTTCGATCCTTTCCCCACCTGTCAAGCTTGAAAGGAACTGAAGCTCTTCTTCAAAAGTTTTTGAGGAAAGAATTCCAGCTGCATTTCCGGCCCAAACGAGGCTTGGTTTGCACGGGCGTAATGCAACTGGACGTCAAATACGATTCATTCAGGCGTCCTTGATTTTGATAAGGAAACTACGATCCATCTGTTCTATCCTTATCGGGAATCATCGATAGTGTGGATATCACAAAACTAAATGGAATCTCGAGCCCGCGACCTCTCGGCTGGAGATCTGAGCACTTAACCGTTCGACCAGGAGTATCCTAGTAGCAGTGTGATTAGTTCTCACTCAGACAGGCTGTAGCACCAGGATCCACGTCTCTTAAAGTATTGACTCGCTCCCCGAGTAACGAATTCCCAATGGAAGTTTCTCTTGTCTCGTAGGTACTTTCGTCTGAACCACTTATATACCGTTAGTAGTGTGGCGAGACTCCTTAATCCCAACTGAGTTTCTATCCCGTAATCGAAGTCGACCGATGTTCACGTGACTCGGGATACTATGCAGCTGTTTTATCGCACAAGACTCCACGGAAATCCGAAAGTTCCCTTGGCTTCGAGAAGTAAATTGCTCAAACTATTAACCGGGAGACTCTCCTGAGTTTCGTGAGACACGCGCGCCCTTGGGTTAACACACCCCAGTGGAAAATGTACGTTGAGTAACCTTCTATCATTACTAAACATGTACATCCCAACATTAAGCCTGTGAACACCATAGCAGTCAGTCCTTCAGGATTCAACGCGGTATAACAGCATCTGTTCCGAAACCGTGGCCGCTATGCTTGTGATCAGTAATCCCAAAGTGTCGCACGTCTGTGTGGTGCGAATAACAAGGAACCAACTTTTCATGTCCTGGCACACTCGAGTACAACGTCAGCTATCGGAAACCTGGTGGATCGAATAGCATACTCAACTAAAACAGTTTAAATTTCGTTAAATCCTGAATATGGCTCAGTATGAAATAGACAGCAAATCAAATTGAACGCTTCAAGGTCACCTTCGCCAAAACACGTTGACCGCAAAGAAAAACGACAAAATAACGAAACCGATTAATCACTTGCGACAGGGGCATGGGATATATCTGTACCGAAATTCCCAAACGAGCCATCAACTGAAACCCACCTTGTGGCTGAAGAATCCCTTTTTTACCAAACGTCCGAACCGTCAAATATATTCCCAATGGCTGTGCGTATATTCATTACATTTCTTTTCTGTTTTCAACTTATTCCGACTGACAGTTTTCACTATCTGCTCTATTTATCCCTGAGTTTGATTGACAGGAGACGAGTAACAGTGGGTCTGCAGAAACCGGCAACTGTCACAAGTATGCCTTTTTGCTCTGGCCAGATTCGCAACAAACAAGACAGTCTTCGAGCAGGATGCCATTAGTTCGTGGTGACGTGAAAACACCTACCAGTTGTCGAATCGGGTTTGCACAAAAAAAGACAACGGAAAGAATGAAACATCGTTCGCTACTCCTAATGGCACAGATGTTTAGATCTGTTTCCCAGACAAAATCCTATTTAGGAATCGATTTTTCCATATCCTAAGACCACGGCGACAGTACGAGCCACGTTTAGTTGAAATTGCGGAGAAATTGGACAGTTTTATCCCCCAAGTGAAATAAATCTATATTCGTGATGCACTACTCATAAGGTTGCTGAAAATATGTCAACAGCGGACGACCGGTTTCGCCCCTCTTGGGGCTAATCAGGTAGGTGCAGTCCCCGAGTTTCCTACCTGATGAGCCCCAAAAAGGGCGAAAACGGCCGTCGGCTGTCGACGAATTTTCAGCAACCTCATGAGTAGTGCATTTCGAATATACACGTATCGCGATATCTCTAATATCGTAGCGACTGAAACATGAGGCGGCCTGGTGCAGCACATTGAGCAGTTACCTGGAAACATCACGAACGAGAGATTCAGCTGGGTTCCAGGTGAGTATCTCGAAAAACCAAATTATTTTGCGAGTGTATTTCGCTGGAATAAATCTATGTTGAAAAGCCTAAAAGTACTGCACAAAGGTTTCCTCCTGATTGAGAATCATGAACAGTGTTCATGTTCTGGAGGGGTCTCGAGCCCATGACCTCCTGACTCAGTAAGCTATTCGGTCTTGTCATGAGGGTTTGATCAACGCTGATGATCTCCAACAGGGATGATAAAATGACACGGTGATTCTCACCTTTCTCCCTATCAGATGCTAGGGTGGACTCAGTTATAAACCTGTTCCGGAGCTTTGAGGACAGTAATGTGTGTCAGGACTGTGGTCGAAATTGAATGTGTTCCTTCATTTCCAACCTAAATGGCCATTAACCGAGGGTTTTGGAACAGTTTTTGTTTCGTGAGAGCGGTCTCTCCGTAAATGACGCTCTTTGAAGGGATACAGAATAAACTTTAAAGTCTGCGAAAACGGAAGCAAGCGGTCAAAACTTGTTCGGCCAGCTTCCATCCCTTGATTTTGTCCTTCTGATCTGAAAGGGCTGTTCTTAGTTGGATTCGAGAGCTGCAATTGCCTCGAAATTCGTCTGGTTTTAGTAACGTCAAGGTGACCGTCAATCTAACGGCTTCTGTGAGGATCTTCCAACATCCGCCCCACGTCAACAAACAGTGTTCCAACATGCTCTCGTTGGATCAGGTCGGAAATGTGTCCTGTAATAAAGTTCTTGTCGAATTCAGATAACCGGATCACTTGGATGGAATTTCGACTGAAAAAGGTACACTTTTTGTTGGCGTTCAAGAATTCTTTGTTCAAACAAAATCTTCCTTAGTCCTGGCCACGTTTTTCTGACACACTTTAAAGTGGAATTTTCATTCCATCATTCAGGTTCACGTGAAGTAACCATTCCTCACGAAAATTTGAATAAATGCCTGCAAATCTAGAGAACCAATTGCTTTTCAACTCATTGCGATCAACAGATGCGAGTACCGTGTTTGCTGTGGTCGGACTGACCGACAAGCTAAGAAAACGAATGAAATTTCTGATAGTTTCCCCCTTCAATTCCCCTTCAATTTCAGTTGCAACTATGAACTGTCCAAACTGAGGTCATTCTCAAAACACCTGTTTTTTTCTGTCTCCGGGCTTTATCACTTGTATTAAGCTCGGCGATTTTACCTGAACAAAAAACAAGCAAGCAATCTGTCCAATGAAAGCTTATTTCACTCTGAGATGCGACTAGTTAAAAGCAAGCCTTGACGTCATCTGTACCCGCAAATCACCAACCCACATACTCGAATCTTCGAGCAGAGATGCTCAATCCGAAGAAACCTGTCACTGCGCTCAATTCAAAGCTGCTGGACACCACCAAAGCGCACAACGGCGATGTCCCGGAGTTGTTCTGAATCAAAAGGATTATGAAGATAAAGTGCCCCAACATATGACAGTGGGTACAAGAAGATCGAACCGCAAAGGAATTACCTAACCGTCAACAAGGCCAGACTGTACCAACCAAAAAACCAGCCACGGTCTAATTCTACGAGTAAGCACAACCACTCTCGTATGTCCCACAGTGAGAAAGAAAGCGTTCAGCTGTACCACCCTAACGGTGCCTAACTGCCATGCCACCCGAAGGAAGCACGAGGGCTGGGATACTGCCAGGTTGCCTAAGCTTAGACAGGGGAAGTCGAGAGGCGGAGGTCGGATTCGAACCACGGACCTTCCGGTCAGTCAATTCGCGTTCTAACCACTTGGGCCATCTCGCCCCTCCACAGTGGACTAAACCAGAAGAAGAATCATCGTGAAATCCGTTCAAAAAGACTGCCTACGGTAACCGAAATAACACCTT